TCCGTTTTTACTGGAATAGGTATTGCTACCCAGCTTTTCTTTTTCCATTTCCATTTTCATGAAATGTATTTTCCATCCCTTTACTTTCAGTCTACATGTGTGTTTCAATCTGAAGTGAGTCTCTTAAAGGCAGCATATGTCAGGGTCTTGTTTTCTTATCCATTCAGCCACCCTATCTTTTCACTGGAGCAGTTAATTTATTTACATTGAAAGTAATTATTGACAGATATGTAGTTATTGTCATTTTATTATTCATATTTCTTCTTTTTTCTTCTCCTCCTTCTCCTCCTCCTCCTCCTCCTCCACCTCCTTCTTCTTCTTCCAGAAGTCACTTTTACATTTCTTGTAATACTGGTTTGATAATGAACCCCTTTAGGTTTTTCTTGTCTGAGAAGCTCTTTATCTGTCCTTTGATTCTAAATGATAGCTTTGCTCGGTAGAGTAATCTGGGTTGTAGGTCATTATTTTTCATCACTTTGAATATTTCCTGCCAGTCCCTTCTGGCCTGCAAAGTTTCTGTTAAGAAATCAGCTGACCATCTTATGAGAGTGCCCTTGTAGGTAACTAATTGCTTTTCTCTTGCTGCTTTTAAAATTCTCTGTCTTTAAATTTTGGCATTTTAATTATGATGTGTCTTGGTGTGGCCCTCTTTGGGGTCTTCTTGTTTGGGATTCTCTGCACTTCCTGGGCTTGTATCAGGTTAGGGAAGTTTTCCATCATTATTTCTTCAAATAGGTTTTCAATTCCTTGCTCTCTCTCTCTTCTCCTTCTGGTACTGCTATAATGCAAATGTTGATGTCCCAGAGGCCCCTTAAACTCTCCTCATTTTTGGGAGGAGGATTCTTTTTCTTTTTGCTGTTCTGATTGGGTGTTTTCTGCTATCTTCTAAAACACTGATTCAATCCTCTACATCATCTAATTTGTTGTTGATTCCTTCTAATGTATACTTCATTTCAGTTAGTTTTTTTTCATTTCTGACTAGTTCTTTTTTATGTTTTCCGTCTTCATTTTTATGTTTCCTATCTCTTTGTTGAAGTTCTTACTGAGATCATTGAGCATCCTTATAATGAATATTTTGAACTCTGCATCTGGTAGAATGCTTGTCTCCATTTTGTTTAGTTCTTTTCCTGGAGTTTTGTTATGTTCTTTCATTTGGAACATGTTTCTTTGTCTCCTCATGTTGGCTTCCTCCCTGTGTTTGTTTCTATGTATTAGGTAGAATACATAATATGCCTCCCAGTCTTGGCTGAGTGACCTTATGTAGTAGGTGTCCTGTGGGGCCCAATGGCACAGTCTCCCTTGTCACCTGAGCCAGGTGCTCCAGGCATGCTCCTTGTGTGGGTTGTGTGTCCTCCTATTGTAGTTGAACCTTGGTTGCTGTTTGCACATCAGTGGGACGGACTTAACCTCAGGCTTATTGGTTGTGAGTACTGGCCCTGACTACAGTGGAGGAGGTGTTATGTAGGGGCTGGCCCTACAGAGTAGGATTTTCTTAAGCAGGGCTCTGGTACCTGCCAAGTTGCCACACGAAGGTGTAGGACTAGCTCGTTCCACGTATCCACCCCTCCTACCAGTCTCAACATGGCTTCTTCTGTATGTCCCTAAGTTGTAAGACTTCTGTTCAACTAGGCTTCAGTCAGTTTTCAGTGATGATTGTTCTGTAGTTTAGTTGTAATTTGGAGTTGGTTATGGGAAGAGGTGAGCACAGGGTTTACCTGCTCTGCCATCTTGACTGAAAGCTTCATGCAATATCTTTTATATCTAAACTTGATTCTCTGTTTCTGTGGTCTATTACGCCAAGTGAGGCTCTCAGTAAACCTCTTGCTTGAGATTCACTATATTTAGATAAAACTACATTTATTTACACACACAATTTCACACACAATTTTCTTGGGTTCACTCACCCTCTGAAATTGGTGTGTAGGTCTCATAAGTTAAGAACCTCTCTTTTGTAGTTTGGCCTGAACTGGCCTTCATAATATTGTCTGATATCCTACAGAAGGCAAGATGAATTTTTGTATTATTTTATACTTTTATTTTGAAGATGTGCTTATTATGTGCCAGGAACTATGCAAAACCCATTGATTTTACATGAATTACCTCATTTATTCTTACCACAGTCTTCTGAAGTACATATTATTTTTATCTCTACTTTACAGATGAGAAAACAGGTTTAGTGATGTTCTGTAAAGTCACAGGCTGTGGCTGATCCTGGACTTGAACTAGGGTCAATCCCTGAAAGATAACCTTATTCTGACTTTCTTTTGCTCACCTCTTTTTCTTTTCCTGTGGCTTCGTCCCATGAGCATTTCCCTAATCCTCCTGAATTAGTCAGGATAGGTTATATTGTGCCACAATAACAAATAAACCTCCAAATCTCAGTGGTCTTGCACAGTGAAGGCTTGTTATTCTCACATCAAGTTTCCTATGGGTACTACAGGCTTTCTGCATCTTTTAGCTCTGCCATCTGGAGCACATGACTTTCAAGGTAGTTGGTTTAAGGGAAGAGATTGATGGAAGAGGCACACCAGCTTTTAACTGCCTCAGCCCAAAAGTCATACATTATACATATAATCTGACTTACAGAACCTTCAGAAATTTTATTGTCCTTTAATAACCCTTGCCACCATCACGGGAAAATGCATTATATTTCAAAGTCATCTCAAAGATGTACATTTTCCTAAATATTAAATAAGTTCAGTCACTTTTTCTGTATAATATTTCCCAATGCTCCCATCTGTATAGCTGTGCATGACCCATAACATACAGATAGAATTATTATCAAAAGTGCTAGAAGAGGAAAGCTTCTGTTGATTCTGATTTGGAGTTTATCATGTGTTCATTTCTTCTTCTTCTGGGCACCCAGTTTTTGTGATATATAGAATCTGAAATTAACCCCGGAGGTATCTTTGTGCTTCTGCCATCTCACTGCCAAATATAATATCTATATCTGTGAACAACCATGTCTAGCATCTACACATCAAAATGATAAGATTCTATAAATCGTCCAAAACAATTTAGGAAAAAGTGAAGAATCTGTAACTATCTAACTGGACATTAATCAAAACAACACACTGTAAAAAGCCCAAGGGTAAAGGAAATATAGAAGCTATCAAATAGCCCCATCCTTCAATTAGAAAATACAGGATATTGGAACTTGTCTTGCTAGAATATAGGTGGAAGAAAAAGACAAGCTGCTACTCTGAAAATTGTTTGCCCATATTAATCATGTTAATCATTACAATTTGATTGGGATATATATCCCTTTATTTTTTCTTTTTGCCTTCTTAACCATAATAAATGACACCTATATTTGTTGAGCTATAGGCAGGGCACTAAGCAGTGTGTGTGTGCATGTGCATGTGTGTGTGTGTGTGTGTGTGTGTGTATAAGTGTGTATTCTATACAATTTCTCTTCATCCTGGTAACATCACAAAGGAATGAAGAATCTTCATCATATGGTGAAAGAAACTGAAGTGCATGGAGGGTAAGTTATTTCTTCAATGTCATAAGCATAGTAGTTGTGAAGCTGGCATTCAAACCCTCATTGGGAAGATTTTAAAGGGAGTCTCCCTCACCAGATTAAAAAAGGGGTGCACAAGGGGTCTTTCAAAATCTCTTAAAGTATTCCAAGTAGACATGCCTTGTACTGCTCCATCTAGACCAGTCAACATGAGGTAGAAATGAGCAAAGAGAATGGGGAGAACTCATAGAACCAGATAGGATAATGGTAGTTTCCTAGGAGTGAGGGACGGGGAAAATAGGGAGATGTTGGTCAAAGAGTATAGACTTCTCCTTATAAGATGAATAAGTTCTGAAGATCTAATGTACAGCATGGCGACTACAGCTAATAATACTGTATGGTACACTGGAAATTTGTTAAGAGAGCAGACCTTTACTGTTCTCACCACACCAAAAAAGAGAGGGGGAGTAACAATGTGAGGTGATGGATGTGTTCATTAACTTAATTGTGGTAATCATTTCACAATGTATACATATATTAAACCATCACATTATATACCTTAAATATGTACAATTTTTATTTGTCAATTATATCTCAACAGAGCTAAAAAAATAATAATGAGGAGACGGTAGCCTGCAGGCTTTTCTCTCATCTCATCAGAGCCCTGAATGAGAACCCAGTCAGGTTACTAAGGATGAAGCAAGGGACTCCTTTCAACTGTTTCATTAATCCATCAACTAATTCATTCACTTCTTCATTCATGGGTTTGTTTACTTGTTCACTTGTTAGCTCTACTTTTTCTTCTCTTATCATGTGCCCAACTTCTGAGTGCTCTGCAGTTTGCCTTGTCCTTAGTCAAACATCCACACCCAGAGGGACTCCCGACCTCAAAAGAACCTCCCTGCCAAGCCCTCTGAATCATGAGGGCTCCAGACTCACACCACCACACCCAGGCCCCCAACTACTGTGACACTATTAGTTTTATGACAAGACATTAGCAAAAATCCAACTGGCAATAAAACACTTGAAGAGATTCTCCTCTTCAAGAGAGTGGTTTTAAGTCCCTTGAAACTTTGCAGATGAGAAAGTAAGATTGAAAGCCTGACGTCAACAAAGACAGGCAGCCTCAAATTCAAGTGGTTGCACCAGTTCACACTGTGGGGTCTTAGTCAAGTTAAGTTTAAAGCTGTCACTTGTAACATGGAGATAAAGATGGCACCCAACCCATGGGTTGAAAAGGTTAACAAGATCATGTAAAACACTTAGAACACGTGGCAACACACATGCTGATCACCATTTTAGGCAGTGGAGACACAGCACAAAAACACTGAAAAATTCCATGCTCTTACCAATATATGCTCTAATGGGAAGCGGAGATAATAAAGCAATAGACAAATAAATATACCATATTTGGACTGGTTATAAGTGTTGAGAAGAAATATAAAGCAGGATGCATGCCTGAGAGTGGCTGTCGAGCAATTGGGTTACTTACTCTTCAGAGGACATGACGTGAAGAACAGAATAACTGCTGACATACCTGCTTCCAGTGTGAGCTGCTCCAAACAGATCTCATCAGATAGGCCCCAAAACACACAGTCCTGTTGTGGAGAAGGGGAGAGAAATTCATAATCTCTATCACAAAATATAAATCAAAATTTATATCAATATTTCCTTGTTCTCTTTTTTCCTGTATGAAAGCTAACCCAAATCCCTGACTAGATCTGAATGGGGTGATTGTGTTTAACAAATTGCTGACCAAACTCACTCTTTCTTCCAAATTTGTTAGCTCGCAGAACCCAGAGCACTTTCATAAGGGGAAGGGCCTGAGGCCTTGCAGACTTCACCGTCGTATGCCTTATTCCTGTTCTTAGAGTCAGAAGTCTTCCATGTGGTAACACACCTGAACTTGGATGTTTGTATGACCAGCCTTTTAGACTGATGGAGAAGGTAACAGCTTCTAACATTCCCAGGTTTGTCATCATGGGCACTGAAAGCCAGCTTGGACTACTGCTCTAAAGTACTTCTCTTACTGGTAAGGCAAGAAGCCTTTAAAACATCAGTGTTTGGGGGTAAAAAGAGGTATTTGGCAGCAGTTCCCATGGGTTCCTTAAGCCCTCCCACCCCGGCTGCTGGCTCTTTGTGAGGCTTCCTACACAAAATGCCTCTTGCTATCCTCTCTCACTTCCTTCTTCATTCTGAGAGAGCCTATCAGGGGCGTTCAGCCTTTAAGGTCCCTTTAGCAAGTCCTGAGGCCCAGAGAGCCACTAACACTTCCTCACATGCTCTGCCTGGCTTTTACTTCTCCATGGCCTTTATGAGGCAGACTCGTGCCCACACAACTGCTCACTGTTTCTACCTGAATCTCCATCACCTCCTCCATTGCTACGGGCCCACACAATAACCTACTTAATGTGGATTCCATGGCAGGATACAGCTCACCTCACACATGGAACCAGTCTTTCTCTTTTAGTATAATGGCTCTTGCAGCTCAATTTTGATGCGCTGGCTTCTAAGAAATGATCACCCTTTGGCTCAACAGGAAAGAGGCTGGTTTTAAAGTGAAAACCCAAGTATGATATCGGGGGTAGGAAGGCAGTAGATGGGGAGGGGGGTTGCTTCTGTGTGAAGGGTGAAAAGGATAATTATTGCATTGTTCTGTACACCTGAAACTAACAATAAAAAAAATAAAAATTTAAAAATTAAAAAAAATTCTACAGCTAAAAAATAATAATAATAAAATTAAAAAAATAAAGTGAAAACCCCCTTTGTCGTGCATTGGTTCTGGTTTGGGCAACTGCCCTACATGCCCTGGTGAAACAGGGAAGAGGGCGTTTGTGAATGGGTGAGCTTTGGAAGCCCGCTCCCTCCAGCTCCAACAAGACATCTCCCTCTGTATGTTTACACAGAGTGCTTCAACAGCAGTGTTTTAGCAGATAAAGAGTATAGAAAAGGTTGAATGCTTCTGGCCTGGACTGACTCCTCCTACTCACTATTAAACAAGTTTCAGGATCCCTTGCATACCAACTCCGTATCTCAAAGTGGAGCCCTGACTGGCTTCAGCCCACCTTTCTTCATTCAACAGATGATGATTAAGAACATATTTTGTGCAGGTGAATCTGAGCATAAGAGAACACCTCCAAAAAAGACAGTTAAATACAGGTCTGGCTTCTTTTGTGTGAACATCTTACTCCTGGTTTCCAGTAACTGGACTCTAGGCCCCCAAGTTCCCTTAAAAGTGTCTTCCAGGAGACTCTATGGCTGTCCTGCCTGCCTGGGCAGCCTAGGGTCCCTGAGGCATGCTGCACATGTACAATACTGGAAAGCCGTCAGGGTCACTAAAAGCAACTTGGTGGCATTATTTAGTAAGCTTAACACTAAGCAGGTGTTTCTCACATCCACAGTAGACTATAATATTTCTTAAATTTTTCATTTCTTGCAAAGAACAGGTCTCATAGGAGAAATAACAATCTGGGTCTCATACTATACCAAATAAGAAAAAAAAAAAGAAAAGAAAGGTATATTGAGAAGGAAAGATTAAAAAGAGAATGATTTGGGGGAACTCGTAGAGTGGCGTCTGTAATCATAACAAGTGTCTGACTCTCTAGGCACAGAGGGGAACTCATCTCCTGCTGGGAGAAAAACAATACTTCATCATTCTTCCTCTAGATTTCCTCAGGTTTGAACATAAAACTCAATCCAGCCCAAATAGAATCCATCCTAGGCCATGGTTAAGTAAACCAATAGAGATTCCTTTTAATTTGGATCTCCGACTCTTGCAACTAAAAAAAACACAACTGACTAATTTTCTCTGTCTCTCTCTTTCTCTAAATGTTCCATATTATGTATATGGAAATATAGGCTCCAAAGCTCTCCTTACTGTTTCTTCTCCCCTAAACTGTCATATGTTTGATACATACCACTTTTCAATGTTTTGGCAGTTTCATTTATGCATAAAAAAGGGGGACAGGGGTGACAGTAATGATCACAGTTTATTTTCTCTTGTCACATGCCCTAGAAAAGAAGCAAATAATTCTGGGGTAATTCAATACATTGAAGAATGGCCCAGGAACACAAGGAAAAGGCCTCAGTGATTTTCTAGATGATGTAGCTACAAGAACAAGCAAGTCTAACTTTTCTCTGGAAGAACATTTTAAATTCATCTCACTATTTTAGAATATGTGAAAAATATATTAAAACATCTCTGTCTAGTTTCCTTGTTTTATTTTGTTTCCTCCCTGCTGCTCTCAGGGAGTATGAAGAAAGTGATGGCATAAGTAAAAGAATAAGACAGATAACTCTTTTCTTCAGTTTTTTTGCCACAAAAGTAGAAATATTATAATAATAGTTACCATTTATTAAATTCTGCTAAGCACATCATGATTTCATTTAATCCTTGCAGCATCACGCAAAGAAGTTATTATCTCCACTTGACAGATGAAGACTGCGGCTGGGGAGGTAGGGATGGGAGTTTGCCCAAAGTCACAGAATGTTCTAGCTTCTAGGAACCATTGTCCTGAACTAAGCAATTCACACTGGCGATCTTGTGAAATCTTCTCAGCTTCCCAGAGTAAATGCATGATTACTAACATTTTTGTAACTTGTCAAAGTCACAAGCTAAATGGCAAAACCTAGATCTTTCTAACTCCAAAACATGCACTCTGACTACTGCACCACAAACATCGTTCTACTTTGTCAGAACAAATGTCCTGAGATTTATCAGTTTATACCTGCAAGGGATCCTCAAGGTTGCTAGAAAGTTTTCATTTCATTTTGCCAGTTCTATCATTCAAGCAATGCAGGTCAATTTATATTAGTTACATTGTATAAAATGTTCTTATTAAGTGGAATTCATACACACACACACACACACACACACACACACACAAGGTTTTTAAATAGTCCATTCTCTGGGTTAGATAGCAAAGAGAGCATTGTGATCATTTTATATTAATTTTTTATTCCAGAAAGGATCTGCTCCTTGTTAACCAACTTCTCTTTATATCCGTGGTCCATTCGTATGTTATCCCAAATCCAGCAGGAACATCAACATAGGAATCATAATTATCACTGAAGCTTTCTTAAATCAATGAATTTAATAGTGGATTGTTGTCTGTGAAACCAGGAACTGAGGGGAAAAGAGCCACCAGTAATACACTGACTCAGGGTGACCAGCTCACTGGCCCCCAATTGCCCTGCTACATAGGAAGGGTCAGGGAGAATAAGGATTGTGTGTCAGGCCCGTAACAGTCATGTGTGTATATACCCATGACACTGGATACAGTGATGCCAGATGCATGTCAGGTGGTGTCTCGGAACTTGCAATGACATTTTTTAAAAGAAAAATGATTTGTGGGTAGGACCTTGTTCACATGCCTGCCTCAAGCTGGCCTTTGTGGCACTTGAGTGTAGAGAAAGAGAACCAGATCTACTAGTTAATGTAATAAACCTTCCCCAAGAAGCAGGGAGACAGGCCAACTTAAAGTGCAACGCAAGTTATTTCCATGTACTTTTAAATTACATTAGGAACAAGGGTTGGAAAACATTGTGCTGATAACAAATTTATAATTTCTACCTTCAATACTACATAAAGCAAATATAAAATAAAGAACCAAGCTGAATGGAACAGAGCTATGTATATTTCACAGAATTCCACAGCTAAGTATTTTCACTCATTTTAATAGGATTTCCCTCATTCACCACAACTGTGTACTCCACATTAGAATAAGCCTAATGCTCATGTATACAGAAGAAACAGTTGAAACCCTCCTTATTCAAAGTCTTTATAACTGAGCAAACTCCAGTCTAATCTGGCTGATTCCTAGTCATCTTTTTTAGGTCTACACTTAAATGCCACTTAAAAAAACGTGTTTCCCTAACCTCTTAATTGTAATTAAGTTCCCATCTTACACTGTGTCTTAAAAGATGCACATTTTGTGCATAGCATTTATAGCAATTTATAATTTTATGTGTGTGTTTATTTGTTTAAAGCCAAAGTTACCACTGAATGCATTCTCTGCCCTTGTATCTCAAGGCTCCAGCGCTCTAGTGAGACTCAGTCGGTGCCTATTTCATGAATGAATAATAATTAAATGAGAAGCAGACATGAGAGTGACTGTGTGTCCCCTAAGAGAAGCAAAGAGCTTACCCTGCTCCTGGTAAGCCCTAGCTGTATTTTGTTTTTCTTCCAAAAATATCTGTGATATTCCTTCTTGTATGTTTATAATAAAATCCTTTTTTCCTGAGCCAGCTGGAATGAGGCTCTATTCCTTGCAACAGAAGTGTCCTAAGTCATAGCCAGAGAACAGAGCATATTGATATAACAATCAAAGCAAATATGATAATAACAAGGTCACATTCTGGCAGGAAACATCAGAAGAAAAAAGGAGTCTCCTCCATAGTGTTTACCTTTGCTTCATCCAATCTGAAACTGAAACCCTCAACCAAATTTACTTCCTAAATTTAACCCTTTAATAAATGCCTCTGACTCCACCTGGTGGAGAAATAGAAACCTGTGGAAATAAACCAATCTAAATGAGGATAAAAATGGACCAGACCTATTTTGTTTCTCAAAAAGACACATTATTAAGAAGTAAAACTT